GCACACTTTCTAGGATATAATCCATTCAGAATTTGAATGAAACTTTCATTTTTCAGACACAGGCTACATCCTGCAAAGTTTCGGGAATGACATCCGCATATTAATGTGGGATTCACTCTCGAAATAGCAGTGATTGGCAATGGACGGAACATAAAATATGTTGATTTAATTCTGGAACCGGTCCTGTCCAAACCTCCACAGACAGCGCCCGTCCCAAGCGAGATCTAATTCACAGAGCAAAAGTGTGTGTAAACTTTATTGAGATTGGGACATATCAACCAGTAATTTCATTTAATTTCCAGTAACGGTCAGTAGAAAGTTCAGCAATGAATGGTGTGCGGTTTATGACAGAATATAGGGGTCTGGAAAGGAAAGGGGTCTGTTGGATTATTTGTTAAATATAACAAATAATGTGTCTGATTTGTCCAGCTGTTACAATCTGCTACGGGTAACTTCATGTACAGTATGTTATATGTGCAGCAGCAACATGTCTCACAGCAGCATGTTTGTGGATGTATTGGCAGCAGCAAGTCTTGGTTCTTGCTCTCCAGCATCAATAATAATAATCAGCAGCAGCATAGCAGATTCCACCAAGACCAGATACATTAACAATATGTCCATTGTAATATGTAAATTACAATGCCGGTCTCTCTGACAGTTGTTATGACAGAAATATGAACCAAAAATATATTCTAGACATCTTGTAGTAACCCAGATTTAGCCAGGGTTACACTCGTCATCTCCTAAAATTATGTCCCCAAGACCTAATTTTCCAATCTATACGATTTCTGTATCTGCGCCATCATCTTTTGAAGTCTTAGGTGTCCAACTTAAAGGTTTAACTCTTACCATTGTTGTAATCATTTATAGACCACCTCAGTTAACTGCTTTGCCTACTTTCTTTATTGAATTTTCTATAATGTTAACACAATTTTGTACTCTGTCTCTAAAAATTATGTTAATGGGTGATTTTAATATTCATCCTGACAATACTACTAGTAATCAATATCATGATTTCAAATCAGTTTTGGATAGTGCTGCTGACCAGTTTGTTGATTTTCAACACATAACAAAGGTCATATTTTAGACTAAGTGACATGGAATGACTGACCATTCTGTAAATCTGTGTTGTTTTAATTAGTCTACACCTAATTTGGTACATATTTACAATGACAGTTTTTCTCATATACTTGACATTGTGGCTCCTGTGAAAACGTCTCGGTCACGTATGGTAACCCTCGTTCCCTGATGGAGGGAACGGAGACGTTGTGTCAAAGTCCGACACTAGGGATCGCACTTGGGAGCCCAGACACCTCTGACATCATTGAGAAAAGGCCAATAACAATTGGTGAGCAAAATTTGCATAGCTGGCCACGCCCCTGATATCCGTGTATAAATAAGCCAGGGTAGTATTAGCTCATTTGCTTTGTTCTGAGGAGTCGAAAGCGTCTCAACATACTCAAAGTTGTGGCATGAGGGACCTCCATCAGGGAACGAGGGTTACCATACGTAACCGAGAAGTTCCCTTTCAGTCAGTCACTTCGATGTTGTGTCGAAGTGAGTCCTCACTCCCAGTGGGCATAGTAAGCCCCTGGCTTCATAGGCCTTAAGGATAGCATCCACAATCCAGTGGGAAATCCTTTGTTTGGAGACAGCATTCCCCTTCTGCTAACCTCTGAAGCAGACAAAAAGCTGTTCAGAAGATCTGAAACTCTGCGTGCGTTTCAAATAAATGCACAGGGCTCGCACTGGGCACAACAGAGACAGGTCAGGGTCCCGCTCCTGTCGGGGAATAGCTTGCAAGGTCACCACCTGATCCCTAAAAGGAGTGATGGGAACCTTGGGCACGTATCCAGGATGGGGTCTCAGGATAACGTGAGAGTCTGCCGGTCCGAATTCTAGGCATGATTCGTTAATGGAGAGAGCTTGGAGATCCCCTACCCTCTTGATAGAAGTGAGCGCAGTCAGGAGGGACATCTTCATAGAGAGGGCACCAAGCTCAACTGACCGTAGGGGCTCAAATGGATCTCTCTGTAAGGCCTGAAGGACCACAGATAGATCCCAAGAGGGGATGAGGCGCGGCCTTGGAGGATTTAGCCTTTGGGCGCCCCTTAGGAATCTGATAACTAGATCGTGTTTCCCTACCGATCTGCCATCTATGGTGTTGTGATTAGCTGCAATGGCAGCCATGTACACTTTAAGAGTAGAGGCAGACAGGCTCCTATCCAGGCCTCACTGGAGAAAGGAAAGCACTGATCCGATGCCACATCTCCAAGTGTCCTTCCCCTGGGAAGAACACCAATCCACGAAAATGCGCCACTTCAGGTCATATAGCCGCCTCATCAAGGGGGCTCTGGCCTGTGTGATGGTATTCACCACTGCAGGTGAGAGATCTCTGAACTCTTCTTGGTCGCATTCAGGGACCAAACGTGCAGGTTCCAGGGATCTGGGCGTGGGTGCCAAATTGTGCCCTTCCCTTGAGAGAGAAGGTCTCTCATCAGAGGAATCTGTCAGGGAGGAGCTTATGCCAGCAGCACCAGGTCTGAAAACCAAATCTTGTTGGGCCAAAAAGAGGCCACCATCAGCACTTGCTCTCTATCCTCCCTGACCTTGCACAGAGTCTGTGCGATGAGGCTCACTGGGGGAAATGCATACTTGCATAAGTCCCTGGGCCAGCTGTGCGCCAGAGCGTCCGTGCCGAGAGAGCCCTCGGTCAGGGAATACCACAGTGGGCAATGAGTGGATTCCGGCGAGGCAAACAGATTTACCTGTGCCTGACCGAATCGACTCCACATCAGCTGGACCATCTGAGGATGAAGCCTCCACTCTCCTCGGAGCTAGACCTGACGTGAGAGGGAGTCCGCTACATGGTTGAGGTCGCCCGGAATGTGAATGGCACACAGGGACCTGAGTCTCTGCTGGCTCCATAATCGGAGATGGTGGGCAAGTTGTGACATGTGACGGGAGCGAACAACACTCTGATGGTTGATATAGATTACCGTCGCTGTGTTGTCCATCCGGACCAACACGTGCTTGCCTTGAATCAATGGCCGAAACCTCCTCAAGGCCAAAAGCACTGTCAACAACTCCAGGCAATTGATATGTCAATGCAGCCGGGGGGCCTGTCCAGACCCCGGAAGCCGCACGCCCATTGCACACGGCACCCCAGCCTGTCTTGGAAGCATCTGTTGTTACAACAATGCATCTGGACACTTGTTCTAAGGGAACCCCTGCCCGTAGAAAGGAGATGTCCTGCCAAGGGCTGAAAGTATGGCGACACTCCGGTGTGACTCTCACACGATGTGTGCCCTGGCACCATGCCCATCTCAGGACTCGGGTATGAAGCCAGTGCTGAAGCAGTCTCATATGCATCAACCCTAGCGGCATCACTGCGGCTGAGGATGCTATATGCCCCAGGAGCCTCTGAAATTGTTTGACCCGACCCCCACCAAAGCAGGATGTTTGATGGCCTCCGTCTGCTTCTTAACCCGCGGAGAATTGTTGGGAAAATTCTTCCATGGTGTCACCGAAGAGTCCTACCTGGGAAATGGGGGTGTCGAGAAAGCGTACTTTCTCAGCATCCCGCATCTCAGCCAGATTGAGCCACAGGTGGCACTCCTGGACCACCATAGTGGACATCGCCTGTCCCAGAGCCTGCGCCGTGACTTTCGTAGCCCGGAGGGCATAGTCAGTCGCCTAGCGCAGTTTCTGCAGGACCTCTGGGTTGGTACCGCCCTCGTGCAGTTCCTTTGTTGTGCATCTTTTGACGTGCAGTGTACGGGGGTAACAAGAGGCGATTAGCCTCTCCTGAGCGGCAATCAGGTGCTTGGATGAATTTCTGACATGTCAGAAATTTTGGTCGCCTCTTGTGAGGGTATCACACAGTTGAAGCAGAACTACGAACCGACTGCCCTAAACTCAGTGATTTTTCTTCACTGCGCCTGCGTGAAAACAGAAATGAAATCATGGCAACATGGTGTGTGATACGGATGGAAAAGATGGAGTCTACACAGCTCCGGGTTTGGAGGGTCCCACAGACCGCATTGTGTGAACACATGAATCCTGAGCTTTGGCTTGAGATCGCGATTCACTTGTGCATTGAGAGTTGGTATTTAACAAAAGCGTTGCTGAAATCGCACAGTGCCTGACCTAACACAGTTCCTCTGATACAAACACTTTTCAACTTAAACAATCAGTACTCACAGTTTCTCTCTTGAAGCATACTAACTCTTACACATACTACCGCACTATACATACGAACTCTGCACTATACAATTAAACTCTGCTCAGAACACAAGATGGCTCCAGAGGAAGGGATGATGTGATTAAAGCACTGTGCACCAATCAGGTCATAGCATCAATCAGCCTGCAGGAGCCAATCAGACAATGTTCCTAGATAGACACACACACACACACATACAGACACTCCCAAAACAAAGCATAGGGCCATAACACCTTAAAACTTACTGAACTGTGTATTTGTGTTTCTTTCAGTCTTGCTGAATGCAATCTCACTGGTCACAGCTGTGAAATTGTGGTCTCAGCTCTACAGTCATTAAACTCTCCTCTCAGAGAGCTGGACCTGAGTAACAATGACCTGCAAGACACAGGAGTGAAGATGCTCTCGGATGCACTGAAGAGTACAAACTGTAAACTGGAGATACTGCGGTGTGTAAGGATAGATCTACAAAATAATAAATGATGTATTTTATTTTGGACATAGTTCTAATAGTTGATGGATCTTGAATGAACAGTTCTCTTCAGGTGCAAGACATTTTTTTTTCTTTATTCATTTTTTTAATTATTTTCAGTTCAAATATTACAATTTAACATTTGAGATAACATTTTTATGATTTTAGATTAATTCTAAAATGTATAAGCTGTTAAAATCTTGTGCTCAATTGTGTTTGAACAGGCATATTCATCATCCATAGACTTAAAATACAGTGCAGGTGCTCAATTAATCAATCCACTTCCTTTCTCTTTATAGATTATCTGGCTGTATGGTGACAGAGGTTGGCTGTTGTTATCTGGCTTCAGCTCTGAGGTCAACTTCACACCTGAAAGAGCTGGATTTGAGCTACAATTACCCAGGAGAATCAGGAGTCAAGCTGCTCTCTGACAGACACAGTGATCCAAAATGCACATTGGAAAAACTCAAGTATGTTAGGCTAAAATTTGGCATGGTATAATTCAGGGGTGTCCAAAGTTTTTTTTTTTATGGGGGCTGGATGCCACACACACACACACACACACACACAATAATACATATAGGGCATATATATATACAGGGCACCAGACTAACATTTGTGACCAGTGGCACCAGCACCTGATTTAATAATAACAATATTACATGTTTTGTTTCTTGGACAGCAACTTGAGTTAACAGTTGCAGTAGCTTGAGTTGGGATACAGATGTAAATATATTTTCATTGACACAAGCAGTAACATCTGTAAAAATTTTAACAACCTCATTTTTAAAGGGTCAAATTTGGAATATTCTGAGGTACAAATATATATATATATTGTGTGTGTGTGTGTGTGTGTGTGTGTGTGTGTATGTATTAATGCTAGTGCCACTGGTCTCAAAGTTTAGTCTGGAGTTCTGTAAATATGTCGTGTATGTCTGTGTGTGAATGAAATTATTGTCACTCACGTTTTACAGCTACTCCTGGTCTAAAATCTAGTGCTGTATCCTTGTATTGACATTGTGAAACTGCAAGATTTGTAAATTATGAGCAGTGGTGGAAAGAGTACTGAAAAAATATACTCAAGTAAAAGTACCATTACATTCCAAAAAATGAAGTGAGAGTAGAGTAAAAAAATACTTGTCCATAAAACTACTTGAGTAAGAGTAAAAGAGTAGCTTATTTAAAAGTACTCATGAGTATTGAGTAGTGAGTACTGAGCTGCAGATTCTACCACCTTATAATAAATGTTGTACAGTGCAATTAAAAAATATAGAAGACATTGTATATACTGTAATTCAAATTATATTTGTTATATAAGAATGTAATATCTATCATCCAACAGTTTTAATTTTGACTGCCAACTCTTTAAATACATAAGAAAACACAGAAAAACTTTTACAGAGATGAAAAGATGAAAGAGTTATTCTCAGTACACGTATCACCATGTAAATCATAGTCTGAGAAAAAAAAGATTTATAATTCAAGTGTAAGGCCACTGAGCCTGAACATGCTATTGTTGCACATAAAATATCAATGTTCAGAACAGTGCAAAGAATACAAAAACCTTTCTGCATCACACACCATGACATAAAAAGAGATTAGAGCTAATTTCTCTCCAAAATGGTGCCAGTTTTAGTGTTTTGTGATAAAGAAATGAAAACTAATATAATAAAACATGAGAAAACTAATATCATCAAAAATGATTGATAATATATGTTACAATTTAAATGTAAATGCACATTGTTCTAAAGGGGGCATCATCCCCTACCTTTGACACAGCTACATTTACTCATTATGCTGATAATATAATTTGTAAGGGGAAAAAATACATAAAATAGGCAAACATTTCCGGGAAAACTTTTTCAAAAGAAAACACACACACACACACACATAAATGCACATTTCTTTGCTGTGCTGCGGCAGTCTCTGTGAATAAGTTGCTTTATCAGCAGCATCTACAGCTGAATGGAACAAAAAATGTTGAACTTGAAAATGTTTTTTGCGCAAGTGCACTTGTTAAATGAAAGCGTATTGTATAAAATGTTTCAAACAAAAAACTGTTTATTAACGAGCTGTAGTTTTATTACATCACATGCTGACAGAGATCCAGTATAAGTTAACACCTATGGAATGCCAAACCTGACAACATTTGAAATAAATAAATACATAGATAAATATAGAAAGAAATGTAAAAATGCAAAAATAAATAAATAATTATTAATAATTTTATTTACTTATGTATATTTTAATTTTTTTAAAATACATTTATACATGTATTTATTTCCACATTTATGTATTTCTATATGTCTTTGTCCGTAGGGTAATGAGGAGGGCGTGTTTTACCTCAGGAATAGCAATCGAGCCAGAGTAGGCGAGGTGTAAGCTTTGAGGCCACAGAGACACCTTGTGTCTGTTTTAATATAAACAGACTGTTTTAATACATTAAGCCACATTAATCGTTTCAGAATGTCCCAAAACCTTGCCTTGAACTAAACACTGACTGTATTTCTTTATGCTTGAGTCCCAAGTTCAAAATAAAACTCTATAAACCGCTTCATTGTAAATGTACGGAGCTGAATGAACCACTGCAAGCTGTAGAGTAAACAGGAAGTGTTTGTCTGAACTCAACTGGTTTTGCGAGAGAACGCAAAGTTTCTTGTGGAATGAAAACGTTTTGCAAGAGAACGCAAAAGATTTGAAAAATATTTTTTTCGTTCCACCCCATATTTTCCCCACCAACATGTCCCTTTAAGGGTTCCGTAGTAAACATACAGTTAGGGTGATATTAAATGACTTAACCTGTGATATAAGATTTTGGCCATATTGCCCATCTAATTCATTCATCCCACACTATCAACAGGCCCGTCATGTAGGCTACACTTCTTGTACTTCGTTTGGGCACCACAAGGTGTCTCTGTGGCCTCAAAGCTTACACCTCGCCTACTCTGGCTCGATTACTATTCCTGAGGTAAAACAGGCTCTCCTCATTACCCTACAGACAAAGAAATGTAGAAATAAATAAATATGGAAATAAATAAATGTCAAAATAAATACATAAATGTCAAAATAAATAAATATAGAAAATAAATATGTAAACAAATACATACATATGGAAATAAATAAATGTATAAATAAAAGAAAAAATAAATGTGGAAAAAAATAAAAACATACATAAATAAGGAAATAAAAGTATAAATAATTATTGTATTACTGAAGTAAATGGGAGTAGAATTTATCGCATTATGAATGTGACACTTGTGGGAATTATCAACATTGTACGCAAGACCCGCAAACCTCACACCACATTTCAGGTCCTGTAGATAGGCTAAAGTACTCAAAAAAGTACAATTTCTGATAAAAACGATTTAATTACAGTAAAGTGAGTACTTGTAATTTGTTACTTCACACCCCTGATTATGAGTGGAGGGCCACATATATTTTAATAAACATGCTGTGGGCCATTCAAAATTCATCCATGGGCTGCTGTTTGGACACCCCTGGTATAATTGTCTGTTATTGGTCATTTTGGTATTACACATATACATTGTATCAAATTAGTTCAAAAGGGAAATATGTATAATTAATTATAACTGTGTAGTGATTTCAGTGTAAGATTGCACACGGGACACCACTAAATGTAGTGATTTTAGATCCAAGTAGCACCACAAGTGTAATGGCTTTGGGCTTAAATATTAATATTATTATTAATATTTAATTTTGGTCACGCTATTTTACGGGGCACATGCCAAGGAATTTCGCCTTGACATTAAAGGACAATCATTGAAAATTGTTGAATAGATAAGAATTACATAAATTGGAAGACATTGTAGTCTGACCAGTCTGAAGAAGATCCTAGTAGTTTGGAACAAGCAAAGGGAGGATCGCTGAAGGGAAGGTTCTGAAGTTGTTACAGAAGATGGAGGGCACTAAGCTTGTGGTCGTCATTGCTGTTGCAGGTTTCAAACTCCCCAAATTTGCATCTTTCAGAACTTTCCTGTTTCTCTTTAGAATACTTAGCTTAGCAGCTTAGCACATCTTGGGTTAGCACTTACAGTACAGTGCTCAATCTCAATACAATCTCAACGAAATGCATCAAGTTAACTGGCAAGCATTAAAATCTAAGAAAGTTAGAATAAAGAAAAGCAAATGTGACTACCAAAGTTGCCATATTAGTGGTTGTGAAACATTTGTTGTCCAGTGGTAAAATATAGGGATGGGCACATCAATATTGCTGTATCGATATATAAGCTACTTATTTGGAATCGATAGCTTTGAAAAAATATCAGTATTAAAATTATATTAATACAAAACTGAGGTTTTCTGTATCTCTTTTTTTAAGTACTTTATAAACGATTTTGCCAAAACACCCTGACATATTTTACTGGTCTGTGTCACATGACTGTGAGAAGCGACCGTACAGCCACACACGCACAGAGACACTCACTTCAGCATTAAACTGAGAGGGATGAACAGAATGGCAGGTAGGAAAGGTAGTCTGATGTGTTGCTACTTTTTTTAATCACAATATTTCTGTAAAATACAAGATAATTTTTTACACTTTTTGGTACACACATTTTTATTTTATTGTGCTAATATTTGATTTTGTGATGAACTGGCTACCTGGTCTCATGGCAAAAACGTACCTGGGGGCACTTTTTTGCGAGACACGAAATACGTACCAATAAGTACATATCACTGCAGTTTCCAAAAGAAATGAATACTAGAGGCAGTAAAACTCAGTGGACATTTCACCTGAAAATGCGGTGAAATGTGCAGTAAGGTACGTAAAAACAGTGTTGCAGAAAAGTACCCAGAGGTACGTATTTTTATGAGACCAGGTTGTGAACTGGATGTTAATGGCCTGTTTGTGTTATGTAGATGTGTTTTTTCTTTAAGTCTAATGATCTTTTTTCCCCCTAAAAATTTATATTATTTTGAAAAATCACATAACCATTTAAGTAATAATCAGTATCGGTATCAGTATCAGTATTGAGAAAATTGTAACTTAAAGTGTGTGGTATAGCCCCTCCCTAGTATAATACAAACTATAAAAGATTTGGAGAATCACTTCTTTGATCTTAAAATTGAGTTATGAGCATTTATGTTAAACTGAGACAAATTCACTGTACCAGCACTATTTATTTTTTCAGTGTGGACCATAACGAAGTCTTCAGAATCACACCAGGACTACAAAAATGTAAGACTGTTTTTAGTTTCCATTAATTTGTTGTACTCACGATTTTTTTCCCACTAAGGTTTTAATGTCTTTTTGTGTTCAGATTTTTGTGATCTCACACTGGATCCAAACACAGCACACACTAGCCTCTTAATGTCTGAAAACAGAACGGTGACACACGTGAAAGACGAGCAAGCATATCCTGATCATCCAGAGAGGTTTGAGCACTATGAGCAGGTTATGTGTAAAGAAAGTCTGACTGGACGCTGTTACTGGGAGACTGAATTCAATGGCAATGGTCATGTAGCAGTTACATACAAAAAAGTCAGTAGAAAAGAAGGGATTGATTGTCTGTTTGGTCTCAATGAACATTCTTGGTGTCTATTCTGGATTAACAGAGGTAATGTTTGTACTGCCTGGCACGATAATAAGAACACTGATGTATCTGTCCCATCTCTGTCTAAAAGAGTAGGAGCGTATCTGGATTGGCCAGCTGGCACTCTGTCCTTCTACAGCGTCTCTGACACACACACACTCACACACTTATACACGTTCAACACCACATTCACTGAACCACTATATGCTGGATTCAGGCTTTATCCTAGAGCCTCAGTATCTCTGTGTCAGATCGAAAAATCTCTGGTAAGAAATAATCTAGAAAATGATTCACTCTAGACAGCTGTATTATATATATGGATGTTTTTCTAAACCTTTTTGGAAGTGTTGTAAAGTCTATAGTGAAGAGGTGACAGGAAGTAACAGGAATGAGGAAAGGTTTTTTTCTATATATCTGACACTTAATATTTGGCAATATAAATGGACTGTACAGACACTATAGGAGCTGTATGATGACGTCACTGTTTTTTACGGAGCTTTACAGCTGAATTGAATTAATTTTATGAATGATGATCTTTACACAGTTATTGAACAGAACTGAATCAAAGCTGAATATTGAAACTATTGTTTTTTTTTTTTACAGCATAATTGATCTCTCAACCACTATTGAACCATTATTTTCCTGTTGATCCCTGAAAAGCTGATTTGAAACAGTCTGTATTGTAAAATGTTACGTTTTTTTTTTTTTGGTGGGGGGATGTAAAGCAATGTAAAGCATTGATTTCATTTAAATCTGCTTAAAGTCATAACGGTTTTAAGTATTTTGAACTTTGTAATGTACATCATAAACCAATTTTTTAAATGTAATTGTATTTTAATTAGTTTTAGAGTGATAACGGTATTTTAGTTTAGTTTAAACAACACTAACTCTTGCAGTCAAATCCTATAGAAAAATCTAAGCTATATTAACACAAACTGTTTTAAATGTGTTTTTTACACATAGATTATTGATGTTGCAGTTTCACTGTCTGAAATGACCCTTCACTTTGCTCCCATTGGTTTCAATTGCTCACTTTGAGATGCTATGTCAGACTTTCCATTGGAATGAATGGAAGAGGCTGTGAATAGTGCGTTTTTGGTTAAATATTGTTATTATTAATGTAATGGAAATTATTCTAAAATGTGTTCTAATGAAGCGTGACAGTGTAAAACTGATAATAGTTTGCAATATCTTAAAAAAAAAAAGTTTTACCAGTCACTTGAAAAAAAGCATAATTTGCTGGTGATTACACACGTGATGACAATAGCATTTATGAACAGAACTTTACATAATGTCTTATAATCTGTTCATGTGCAAAATTAAAATTTCTGTAAAATATCCTGTGACTTCTTGACTGTCGTTTCCACAATAAGGCCATAAAGGCTTTCCCGAGGCTTTACAAGTTCTCAGGCAGGAAATTATTTGTTTTTATGAAAACTCTCATAATATTAAAGTGTCACAATCTTTGGGCCCGTTCTTCGTAATTTTTTTTTTAAATATATATATATTTTTTTACATGATTCCCAATTATTTATATTAACGATTACTAGTATTTGTACAGGCTTTACATTTTTATTTGTTGTGTTGTAATTAGCAATTCATGTAATTTTATCTTTTAATCAGATTTGTTATGTGACCGCATTAATTAAAGGTTCTTTAGTATCTGCATCTCCTGCGCTCCATCAAGACACTCCCATAATATCTGTTAGCACTCAAATTAATGCACGACTCAGATTAACTGTACAGCATGTGTGTAAGACTCCAATACAATTATGAAGTAATTATTTTATCACAAATCTTACAATGAGTAAAACTGTGTGTCGATTCAAAACACCCATGTCACGTGACAACGGCTAAATGAAGCTTCGGTGCGGTTCACAAGTGTTTCGACTGACAGGCAGCAAAATAAAAATCTCACAATGTAACAAATGTGACATATTGTGTGGCTTGATTTCTTTTATTCATGTTCAGTTCTTATGAACAAAATAACCTACAGTTATTCACAAAGAAGAGCTTAAAGTCTACAAAACCAAGCTCATGCAGTTGTCAAGACATGTTAAATACTCAACACATTATTAAAAAATCTAATAAAATAAAAAATACAACTATAAAAAAGAAAAAATGTAACCGCTCTTACAATGATGTGGACACAATTTATTGTTTGACATAAACAACATAGGTTATCATTCATAAATAATTGTCAAGGCAGAGCAACACATGCAAGTTACCACTAGGTGTCACGGTGGAGACAGGTGTCTGATTGTTTCGAAGCCTTGACACAATTAGACACATTTGCTTCAACTGTTTCAGTGATTCATGAAGTGAACGAATAGCAGTGGCTGGGATAGATTTTAAATATCAATTCCACTTAAAAAGATGCAATCTAATCCTGTTTATATGAAACAAGCTGCTCCCGAGCAGGTTTAAGCTTATAGACCTGTTGCTATGACAGCAAGTCCAGGGTGAGTTTCAAAGAACCAAATAATCCAAGATCATGCCAAATCATCAACAATCAAACCCAGCTAACTGACTTAGTGACAGACGAAGAACGGGCCCCTTGTCTTGTCTGCCTTGTGTTTTGTTTTTTGGCCTTTTATGTTGAAGTGGTTCCTGTGCTTTATTTGTAGTCAGTTTGTAGTCTTTCCTGTTGATTAGTTCCTGATTGTTTCCAGGTGTGTCTTGTTTGCCATTCACCCCTTGTTACCTTGTTATCCTGTTTGTCTTTCTCTATTTATACCGTGTTTTCCCCTGCGTCTTTGCTAAGTCTTGCTAGTGTTACTGCTGCATTTCTGAGCGCTCTATTGTCTTTCTGCTCCATGGTTTTGACCCCCGCCCTGTTTTCTGGATTTCCCTGTTTAAGTTTCCTGCCTGGTGTTTGTGTTGGACTATTTTCCCTGTGTTAATGACCTCTTGCCTGTTTATTGTACAACAGCTTTGGATTACCCTTTGAATAAACACGGTATTTGGATCCTCAACCTTTTGCCTCGGAGCAGTTTGCAACAACTGTAATACTGAAAAATGAATAAAAAAAATGTAAACATAACCACTGGCACAACGGTAGGTTATTGAACTAATAGGCTATTCATTTTCATGGTATCTCACGGGTAAAAAAAATAATAATTATTATTATAATTTAAGTGCGTTTTTCTTATTTTACAAATGATCTGCCAATAGGGTAAGAAAAATACGGCTGCGACTATTTACACTAAGTGGAATTGACACTTTCTTAGCGATAGATCCTATTTACAGTAGGCTAAGTGCAAAT